TGGTTGCCTTTGCCGCCATGTGCATTCAACACTAGAGGCACACGTATGTAAGCCTGTGGTTCATCGCTCTTGCGTTCTAGATACCACAGCTCTTGCGCCCCACATATCACCATTTCCAAAATCAGCCTTCTAAGAAGCCTCTGGTTTCCAATCGTGGCTGTGCAGCTTGCGTCAACAATCGAAGATGCTTGAAAAAACCTCGGGATTGGGGCAGAAACCTTCAGCGGCAGCTCAGTGCCCGAACTCAGACAAGCCTGCGCGACCAAAACCACACATCAATCCAGCATGGCCCCAGGATCGGCGAAGCCTACCAGCTTGGCGTGCTTGGCGGCGTCATTGGTGCCGAGGACAGGGGTGCAGCACAAAAACCACGACAATGCAACAGCCAGAAACCTTAGACCCCGACACCCCTGGAATCCGACGCCTTGATGTGGAAACTCAGCTGGAGCTGAGAACTGTTGGCGTAAACAGAGTTTGTTTGCAGTTGGGGGCTTGGGGCAGATGTAGTGGCAGTTGGGGCTGACGCCTGAAACGCAGGAGGATGGCCTCATGAGTGTGATCATGATCACCATGATGATGAGCACTGTGATGATGGTGATGATGAGGAGGAGGAGGAGCATGAGAAGCGGGACCACGATGATGATGATGATGATGGCGACCTTGTTCCATCTCTGCTGTTTCATCAGTCTTGTTACTTACACACCCGGAGCCCTTCAACCTGGAGCTGTTTCGATTCCATCTCTTGCACCTGATTCAGTCCGGGCCAGTATTGGGAAAGTGAGGCTGAACCCTCGAACCCCGGTGCCCAAATCCCAAAAGCGACCTAGTAGGTTTGGGGGTTCAGTGGTTCAGGACACGCTTGCTTTGTGCTTGGAGGGTGTCAGGACTTGGGATGATTAGTGGTGGGATAACGTGCTGAGTCGAGTGGTTGGTTCCTGGTTACTAAAGCACCCCGACTTACAAAAGCAAGCCCAGCGCCTGAGGATCAGAATGGAAAGTGACTCATTTTTGCAAATATTGTTGTGCTGATCTCTGCCGTTTAATTGGTCTTGATCTGTGCCTGTCCTTTTTGGTCTGTGCCGCCATAGTATGCGCACTACTAGTTCTAGTGGTAGCAGTTGTCATTAATAGTCGTAATGATAATAGTATTAGTCTGCGTATTCGTATTCACAGATGACTGTTGTTGTGGTTGTGTGAAAAGACTTCAAAAGCAAGGAAAACGGTCGGGAATCACAGATGACAGGTGCTGGTTCGACAGTAAACATGTGTATGTATGTATGTATATATATATATACATATAAGCAAGAACAGAGAAAACGCCACAGATCAACACAAACGAAAAGGCGCAGATTAACACAATCCATGTGTTTTTAAAGCCAGGAGACAGGAACCCAGACGTACATGACAGGCGCTGTACAGGAAAAGGCAGAAAAGGCACAGACCAACACCAAAAAAAATGCAAAACTGAGCATTGCTCCATCAGAAAGACCACGATCATGATCATAATGGTCATTATGATGTAGTGGCTTTCTGTTATGCTGGTGATAGTCGTGGTGCTGGCGCGGGTGGGGGGGATGTGTTCGTAGTTCGTGATGGTTACGGGTCGTCGGTGGCACCGTTCATGTTTTGATGTTGGAGTCTTTGGGTTTCACATCCCGTTACCTCGAGGGCGTGGTGGCCAGGGTGCGGGGTTTGGGGCTGTTGCGGGGGCTGGGCCAGGAGGAGCAGGAGCTGGAGGAGGAGATGTTTGAAGGCTTCAAAGAGCCGCTTGGACAAGCCATCAGGTGCGAAGGGTCTTTAATTAGATTATAAGTTCAGAGAGTGCACAGGGGGCACTTTTCAGGAGAATTGGTGAGTGTATATTTGGGGGATGCTAGGAGCAAAGTTTCCCGAAAAGCTCAGCGTTTACGGCTGTGCAGGAGTTTGTGCGTTGACAGCAGGCTAGAGAAGAACATTTGAGTTTGTGGGTGCTTGATTTTTCCTGAAGTTGCGTCTAGCAGGACTGGGGGATTCGACTATGATTACATAGTGGGTCGAGATCCACTTCAGGTGATTCATGTGCTTTCAGCCGTTGTGACTCTCTTTTCCTCCTTGCAGCTGTCCTCAGACTGCACAAGACGTACTCATGCTTCTGAGGTCCAGTGGCCACAAGGAGCCGCGGGCACGGGACAAGAACAAGATGAGCCTTGGTTCTGTTTCGAAGAGGTTATTCTCAACTTTCGTGTGGCTTGGTGGGTGGCCACACCAATTTCTGTTTTCCCCAGTTCTGACCCTACTGATACGAACCCAAATGAACAGCCCCAAAACCCTAGACCCCTAGTGTAGGGCCCTTAATAATTGGAATAGGGTTTTAGGGGTTCCTCATTATAATAATTCATATACCCCAAACCCTATTCTTATGATTATAGTATAATATACCCTAAACCCTATTCTAATTATTAAGGCCCCTATATTACACAAAACTGGTGTCCAAGGAGCGCCAAAGGTTTGATCAGCAACTTTGCCTGGGCCCCAGCGTTCGCCTCGGGGCTCTCGCAAGGACTCGTCGACTCGCGTTTTGGGGCTTCGGGGTCTCAGAGCGTTGTATGCTGCAGGGTTGTAGAAGGGTTTTGGGATTTGGGGGTAATAATAGTAATAAGAATAATTATTATCATGATTATTGTTATTATTTATTTATTGTTATTATTATTATTATCATTATTATTATCATCATCCTTTTTTAGATAATAATAGTAATAGTAATAAAAATAATAACAATAGTATTAAGAACAACAATAATAATAACAACAACAATGAATAGGAATCACAACAATAGTCATAATAAAAAGCTATGGCTTTTGGAGACTTTTGGGGTTTGGAGATCCCGGGCCCTTGGCTTGGGACATTGGCCAACAGAGCGAAGAGGGGGGGCTTGGAGTCTGGCGGCTTTGCTTTGGGCGGCCCTTTTTGCTTGTGTTTAGGGTTTAGGGGTTTAGGGGTTTAGGGCTGTGCGTCATCGGAGTTCAGGGTTTAGGGGTTTTATTTGAGGATATGCATTTGATTTTTAATGTTTTGGTTAGTGGTGTGTAAATGTTTCTTCACAAGGTTTTCGTACGCGCCTGCCTACCTGCCTACCTACCCAGCTACCGGTACCTAGCTAGCTAGCCACCTGCAGATAATCAGATAGATGCTGGTGGAATTCCACTCTTGCCACAGGTGCTCTCCATTGTTGGCTCAACCACCCTGGGCCTCGCCTCGCAGATGAGAAAACTCGGCATCTTGAATGCATGTCTTCCGGCTTCCGGGCTCTAGGATTTGGGGTTTGGGGAATTTAATGCTTGACTTAGGGATAGATGTTTAGGATCAGCGTTATGCTTGTGAAGCTTCTGGTTTCTGGTTTCTGGAGGACCCTAAGGTTCAGGTTGAGGCGGACGGGCCGAAGAATCATCGAAGCGTTGCAACTCCGACTCCAACCCCCCCCCCCCACCTTTTCGAGTCCAATTCAGGCTGGATCTTGCCGCCGCTGAGCGTCTCTCGGATGGTCAGCAGACGCTTCCGTGTGAAAGTTGTCAACGTTTGATCGGGCACCTTCCAAAATGCACCGACGCTCTGTCTGTCGACGGGCTCTGCTTGGTAGGAGATCATGTCCAGGCCTCCAAGAGGAACTCTAGGAACCCCAAAAAAAAGCAAGATGCTGCACTTTTTTGGTCTGAAACCCTGCCATCGCGAGAGTGGGTACTCGAGCTCGCCTTCAGACTTTCGAGGTGATTGCTGGCGCTTTCATCGTGGCGGAGAACACGAGGTTGGTCGGAGCTTAGCCCTTGCCCCCGCTGAACAAGAAGTGCCTTGAAGTAGCTTCATAAGAGCACCACTAGCATCACTAGCACCCTCTCTACTCCTCTTCGAGGGGGCCTTCCTCTCAGCTTAGCCTTCCCAGGGGCCCAGAACCCCAAAGCGTCCAAAGGCTGAGTCTCAGAGCGTGTAGGGGACGAAAGGCGGGCCATGCCACACAAGACTCAAGCCGGAGATCTTCAGAAACCCAACTGCTGCATAGTAACCGCCGTGCCATGCAAGCTCTAAAAACCCAAAGTAGACCCTGACAGGGCCCCTTCCACGAATGGGCCCCGGCAATCAGAAAACTTCTGAGTTCGGTTGCAAGGACGGCGGTCAGAGTGCAGGAACAGTCACATGTCAACGTCTTGTATGGTGGTGCCTTCGGTCATAAAGAAGGACGTTCTTGAGACGCAGGACTCAAGATATCCCGGCCCAAGAAGTCAGATCTCAAGCTACACGGAAAAAGAGGCGGCAATCATGAGCACCAGTATAATTCCTAGGTCGTACCCCAAAACCCTAGACTCTAAGTAAATTTTAAGGCATTAAACCCTAAACCCTAAAGCCCCATCTGTCATAAGCAAAAAAAGAGGCTCGTCACCTCCACCATCGACAAGCTCCAGAAGCAGCGGGACGTCCAAGTCCTGGCGCTGCCTGGACTTCATATACAAAGGGATCTTCCACAAAGGGATCTAAGGGTTTCTATAAGGTTTCTATAAGGTTACTATAAGGGTTCTAGGAGGAGTTTCCGAAAATATTCGACCCGAAATAGAGTACCCTAAATAGTAGGATCCTTCTTCTAAGGACCCCCCCCCCCAAATTCAGGTACCCCTTATTTTTGGAAACCCCCATATGAGTAGTTCTCTAAATTAGGGTCCCCCTTTCAGGTCCCCAACATACTACGGCACAAGAAATAGAAAGGTATCCTGAAAGGGACCCTAATTAATTTAGAGAACTGCCCATACACGGAGAGGAAGCTCTGACCAAAGGAGAGGTCAAAGAACCTACCTTTTTTGAGGTTTTTTTGAAAGTTATAATGGGGAACCAAAAAAAGGGATAGGTTTCCTGGGGGTATAGGTGTGGCTTGGGTAGTGTTTGTGGTGTCTGGATTTGGGAATGATGGGTTGAGAAGGGGCCCCGAGCCAGACAGCTCTACGCGTCAGCGTTCTCAAGCCCTGACGCAATTCTAGGTATCCGGACTTTGCGAAAGCGGCATTTGGCATCTGGGGCAAGCGCCTCTCATCCGTGACCAGCATGCCACCTGGCTCCTACGATTCTCTGTGCAAGACTAGTTGTGTCTGCATTCTCACTGCGAATATTTCAACATATTTCAACCATATAGCTCTTTCATGCTTCATGTGTTGATCGCTGCTTACGATTGCTCTCCTTCCTGTGAGGTCGAGCGCTGCTTACATTACCATACGTGCCACCACTGACTTATCGACAGTTGCTGTAGTGGTGCTTGCTACTCGACGTCGGCCCTGCGCATTCAGTCTGAGCACATGAAGGCAGAAAGCTCCTTGCAGGCAAGCACACAAGCTTACGAGACTACTTGGGGGTTCATGGGTAGTTATAAGTGGAGCTGTAAGTCCCTTAGTTTGGGTTATAACTATAGTTGTCCTACTTGTAACCCTACTTATAACTTCCCATGAACCCCCTGCTAAACCTGGCCTCATAGATGCGAAGAGCTGGCTAAAGTGAATACGGAAGTTCGGCTTACCTGGGATGTAAATTAAGTCGAAACCCGATGCTCCCCTGCATTCTTATGCTGAAGACATTGCCGGGAAAGGACCGTGACCCTGAATCCCTAGATCCGGAAGCCGGAAGCCGCGGTAATTGCGAGAGCTACGTTCTAGTCTACTCTACCCATCGCGTGAGGCTCGCACTGCTGGGGATGATGCCCTGGCTGATTTGATGGGTGGCTGACGTGTTTTCTTAGGGATTTTTTTGGACGCCCGGCGTTCAGGGAGGAGCTTGGGGCCAAGTTGGGCCAAGGTTTCTCCCTTCGAAGTCGAAGACTTCGAAGAAGGGGGATCCCATATCCCCACAGGCCTTATAAATACATTGTGATTTAGGATATCTATTCCTTAATTAAGGGGTATTGGGTTTTCAGGGTCGAAAAGGGGATCCCATATTACTAGCATTATTATGATTATGATTATGATTATGATTATTATCATTGTTATGATTGTAGTTATTATAGTTATTATTCCATATCCCTTCGAAAGCCGAGGATGTGCACCAGCTTGGTGCTCGAGGCCCAGAACTTCAACTTCCTCTTTCCCATCTCCTGGCCCTGGCCGGGGCCCTAAGAAAGAGGCAAGAGGGCGAAAGCCTCATGAAACAAGCTTCAGAAGTCTTGTTCCTGGCCTTCTTGCGGGTTTAGTTCGGGTTTCGTTCGGGTTTAGGGGTTTTTAAAGCTGCTTTTTTCGAGGCTCGGCTGCGAGAACTGCGGCCACAAGTGGTGGGCCTTGCTGCTGACACCTGTCACTCTGGTCTACGTCTTCGGGAACCCAGGCCAGCGTTTCTTCTTGGGGTCAGCCGTGGTGTTCTTGTCAGGTAATATAGGAGCCTGAATAACCAAAATAGCGTTTGGGGTATATTATACCATAATTATTATAAGGAACCCCTGAAACCCTATTCTAATTATTAAGGCCCCGACATTCGCAAAATACGTTGCTGCCGATGCTCAGTACTCAGATTCGTGACAGGGAATCGCCACTCCGTCGCGAGGAGCAGGGGTTGGCTTTAAGAGGAACGGCTTTCGCATGGCCATCTGCAGCAACATTGCACCATACACCAGGCAGCATTCTATCATGTACGAGTGCGGGAGCATACAGATTACCAAGCAGCATGCAGCTCTTGCAAGCTTCGTAGCTGGGCTGCCTGCCCAAGTATCTCTAGAAGTCCCGAAGACCCCCAAAAGCCAAAGCCTAGGCCCTAGAATCTCAAAGGTAGATGTCTTCTTAGTAGCTGAGTAGGTACCCTTTAACCGTTTTGGGCCTATATAATCCTACCTTAATTGAAAGGTTAACCTTTTTTGGGCTAGAAAAACTCAGCCCCTAAGTCTTTGCCTATGCAAACCTTGACTTACCGAGCCCGCACATGGGTAGTTCTCTAAATGAGGGTCCCTTTTCTAAGGTGCCGGATAAAGTACGGCACCCTTATAAAAAAAGGACTCTAAAAGGGACCCTAGATTTGAGAACTACCCACATCTCTGCAGGGGCGCTCATGAAGCGCGCGGCCTTCCTGGGGCCCGTCGTTTGCATCCTTACAGCTGCTGGGCCCGTTGTTTCCCTGGACTGGGGGATACGGTTGATGATAGAAATCCTGCATCACCTTAAGAACCCTAAACTACGGGAATTATGGTACTGTATATTCCTTATTGTGAGTAATGCAGGATGTGTACCATCAACCGTATGTGGGAGTTCGGGTGTTCTTTGTTCTTCAAGCTTTTCTGAAGGCCGTTCCGGCAGTCGTCGTTCCAAAGTGGCTCTCTATGTGCCCATTAGGGGCACACCCACGGCTGTTCGGACTTATCTAGATGTGGCACCTCTGTTTTCCCGACGCTCGTGTATTTCGACAGGGATCTGCCACGTCATGTTGTTCCTCATTTGGGAGTCTCGGAACATCAGGACCCTGACATAAATCCGCAAGAACAGAGGGGACCTCTCTTAAGTAACGGCCTCAAGGCTTGGGAACATAGACCGGGTGCGTGCTGCGCTCCTTTTTTCCGGTGTTCCGAGCTTCAGGGTATGGTGTTGGCAGTGTTCCATCCTTCTTGCTCCTACTTTCTCCTTACTTCCGCATCCTAAGGTCTAAACAAACCTGAAACCCAAAGGGCCCTACCCCTTTAAAGGGCCCTAAACCCCAAGCTTCAACCCCTGGTTCCGCTTGGTATTCTCAGCGCAGCCTAAACCCTGAGCCCTAAACCCTAAGCCCTAAACCCCAAACCCCTCAACCCTAAAGCCTGAGCCGTAAACCCTAAACCCTGAGCCCTAAACCCTAAACCCCTAAACCCTAAAGCCTAAGGTAGCCTTGGCCTGGCTCGGTGCCGGGGGCTCCATCGCCGTGGCGGGATCCATCCCGGCACCCTGCAGGCTGGGCTATGAGGGTTTAGGGTTTAGAGAACGGTGAGGGTTTGTCGAACGGTGAGCTCTACCGTAGGGTGTAGGGTTTAAGGTTTAGGGTTTAGGAGTTTAGGGGTTTAGGGTTTAGACAGATTTCTGGGCTCCCAAAACGGTTTCGGGGTCTAGGAGTTGAGGGATTAAGGGTTCTGGGTTTGAGGGTTTAGGGATTTAGGGTTTTAGGGATTTCGAGTCTGAGGGTTCTGGGTTTAAGGGTTTAGGGTTCAGGGGCTAGCAAATGAAAGGTTCTTACAAGTAGGGGTCTTTTTGTAGGGAGTCCATACTTTTGGGTTGCTCTGGCAGGTTTCTTATATACAGACCAGGATTATCATCAACTTTAGATTGTGGGCTGGAGCTGTTTCCAGTTCTTGAGAAGCCGGTAGAACGCTGAGTTTGTCTTCAGTCGGTGCCTTCGAGTGCGTTTCGATGTGGTCCTCGTATGAGGAGCAACCACGTCTTTCTGCCGTCCTTGGCGGAACTGTTCAGCGTTGCCTGGCCGAGACAGCTTCTGTTGATCGCATGCCGGATGGGGCTAAGGCTTAAGGGATTGAGATTGCAAGCTGTGCTGGTTCTAAACTGACTGTACACACTCCCCGCTTCAGAGCTGCATGTCAATCGCCCTTTCCGTCTTGCTAAGAAGTGCAGTTCTGCATGCCAGGCCCGCAAACTATCTACCACATCGTTTTTGAACCTCGCAGAGCGCAGAAAGCGCAGAAATATTATTCCTTTCCAGCCCCTTACCTTCTTGCAGTGTCATATGCTCACCGGAAGATCTGGTCAACCGGACCGTGTACCTTTCAAGTATTAAATCCAACACCCTCCGAATACCGACAAGGCCCACAGATGCCGAAAATTCACACACTCAATGGTTACTGTGTCACACATGCCGACTTCTTCATGAAGCTGATTCCTCTGCAACTAAATTTTGGTCTGTGCGAAAGACATGTGGAAGGCAAGATCCAAAGCCGAACCCCCACCAAGGTCAACATTCTACTGCCTTTGGCCCAGGTGGGCTCTTACGGCCTCAACCTGAGAGCAGTAGTGCTGGGCCGGAGGGCTTTTACAGGGATGCTGGATCTTTGAGCAGCTCAGAGGGCCCGTTCGTTTAAGTGCAGTTCCTGTTCAGCCTGATTTGGCGCTCTTTTGGCTGCGAGACTTGCAGGGTCCACCACAAAAAGGCTAGGTATCGGTTGAGTCTTCGGCCGGAATGCCCTACGCCGCCTAGGGCCTGAAGCTCCAAAGCCCCGAAAAGCAACTTTAGGGTTCAGGGTTCAGGGTTTAGGGTTATAGGGTTATAGGGTTTAAGGTCTTAGGGTTTTAGAATCCGCACCCGGGATGCTGCGAGTGGTGATGGCATCTGGAGAAGAGGTGGCTGCCATTCCTGTGGAGCAGTTGCGTGGTTCTGGAGTACCATACTTGAATACTTATTTTTGGACCTGTTCCTCAAAGGAGCCATTATAACCCTAAAAACCCTGAACCCTAAACCCTAAACCCTAAACTAAAAGTCCATACTTTATTCTCCTTGGTTACTTCAAAGTCCAGGTTGACGACGGCAGGGATGCTGAAGCGCGAGCTGCAGAGGCTCTCAGGCATTCCCCGATTTCGGCAGCTTAGGCTACAGCTTACCCCTTTAGGGTTTACAGGGTTTGTAGGGTTTATAGGGTGTATAGGGTCTATAGGGTTTTTTTGGGGTTTATAGGGTTTAGCTTAGTAGCTGAGTAGGTATCCTTTAACCCTTTTTGGGGCCTATATGCTCCTACCATAAGTGAAAGGTTACCCTTTTTTGGGCTAGGGTACTCAGACCCTAAGGCAGAGGTTGGTTCACGAAAGTGGGACTTGCTTGGAAGAGGAGGCCGAGCTTCAGGCAATGACTCTGCAGTTGGTGGTGTTACCTTTTGCAAGCGCATCAGAGCTCGAAATGGACGAGATCATCGGGGCTGCTGCAAGTGGCGTCACGTCGAAGGTCCAAGAGTTTCTGCAAAAACAGATTGACCCGAACTTCCTTGGTTACAATGACGAAGGTGTCTTTGTTACACCACTCGTTGCGGCATGTGAGAAAGGCCACACGGAAGTTGCAGAGTTGTTGCTACAAGCCGGTGCTGACAAGGAGTCTTGCGACACTGGCGCTGACAGCGAGCAACGCAAGGTTGTATCCAAGATCTTTGGGTGTCAAAATTTACAGTGTACTTTTGATCTCTTCTAAATCGTCCGTTTAGGTGTTGACCCGTTCTAAGCAGCTGTGATTCCTCTATGCATGTTTCCGTCGGAATTTCTGGTTGGACGGTGGAATCGGTGAAAGATGGTAACACATGCTCAGGATATCCCAGATGGTCGACAAAAAGCTCGCGAGCAAAATGCTGGAAGGCTTCGATGACTTTGCAAGACGCCTCTCTGGGTGGCTTCTCAGAGGGGCCACTCTGGAGTTCTACGTTTGCTTCTAGAGGCTCGGGCTGACAAAGACTGCCAAAACACCTTTGGACAATCGCCTCTTTGGATCGCCGCAAGCAAAGGCCATGTGGACATCCTCTGCTTGCTTCTGGAGGCACGGGCGGATAAGGATTCGGCTGACAGCGTACTGGGCAATTCGCCCTTGAGACAAGCCGTCGCGAAAGGCCGTGCGCAGATCGCCAGCTTGCTCCTGCTGGGCTAGGGCGGCTAGGTGGTCTGCTACCATCAGAAGTCAGAACCAGACAGCCGTAGCAGGAGCGACGGGCGCGGAGCAGCAACCCCCAAAAAGCGGAAGACTCGAAAAAGACGAAATCAGGTCTTCAACCTGAAACCCTAAGGCCCTAAGGGGTATACGATCAGGTACCCTTTAGTAGTTATAGGGTCCCAAATTAGGGGATCTACGTTTAAGCCTAAACCCTAAGCCTTGAAGATGTCTGCTGGGTCATTGGGCTTTCACAGCTGGTCCCTGACTTGAGACACCCTGATAGGGGTTTGGAATCATGAATTCCTGAATCTCCCCATTACCCAGAGAGCCCAATATACCCCTTAATTGATGAATGTGCCTTAAACTATGGGCCTTAATATTATGATTTTAGGTATATTCCTTAATTAGGGGGCATGGGGTTCTCTGGGTATAGGCCTTGAGTAAATACACTAGAATCTGCGCGAAGACCGTGTTCTCATGATTCACGTCCCTGTGTTAGAAAACCTTCATGTGCCTGAGGCTTCTACAACTTCGCGGTGATTGTCACAGTACCCACTCTGCGGCATCAGATGAAGGATCCGAAGAAGCCGCCAAGATCAATGGGAATCGCGGTTGGGGTTCCTCGGTTGGGGTTCCTTAGGGTTGCTGAAAGTGTTCGTGGGATTTCCGGGGTTAGGATTCAGTGCTTTCCTTGCTTAAGGGGGCCTAATTAGGGCCTCATTAAGGGCTTCTTCCCTTCTAATCCGGGGCTCACCGTAAGGTTTAGGTTTACAGGATGCTACAGGCTTGTTTTGGGGCGTCGATTTCCGTATTCAGATTCCCTAAACCCCTAAACCCCCCGCCCTAAACCCCTAAACCCTAAACCCCTAAACCTTATACCCTCAACCCCTAAAGCCCTACACCCCTAAACTCCGAAATCCTTGGCCTGGTCACGAAAAGGCGCCAAAGCCGACGGTAGTGGAGGAACAAAGCAGTCGCCCCAGGCCTTTGGGAATTGGGTAGTAAGTAGTTCTCTAAAGTAGGGGTCCTTTTTTTTTTTT